CTTTCAGATTATTATTATTATTATTATTTTGAGACAGAGTCTCACTCTGTTGCCAGGCTAGAGTGAGTGCCGTGGCGTCAACCTAGCTCACGCAAACCTCACACTCCTGGGCTCAAGCAATCCTGCTGTCTCAGCCTCCGACTAGCTGGGACTACAGGCATGCGCCACCATGCCGGCTAATTTTTCTATATATAATTAGTTGGGCAATTAATTTCTTTCTATTTATGGTAGACGACGGGTCTTGCTCTTGCTCAGGCTGGTTTCGAACTCCTGACTCGAGTAATCCGCCGCCTCGGCCTCCCAGAGTGCTAGGATTACAGGCGTGAGCCACCACGCCCGGCCGCTTTCAGATTATTTAACATCATTTCTTTTGTGTCTTTCTCCCCAACAGTTTAACTTAAAATACTTTTAAAAGAAGTAAACTAGAAACATTTACGGAGTACTGGGTTTGGGGCCTGAGGTCGTTAAAGATGCCTTTGGGAGCACAGACATCCTGTTCTTTCTTCCCGGTCTGAAGAGCTTAACCAGAAAGCCCCACTTTAAATCTTAGACAACCCCTTTTCCCCATCTTGGGCATTTCTTTTTGGGGCGGACTGGGACCAGAGTTCTCATTTAGGTAGGCAATAAGTGACAATTGATGGTTCATTCCTATGATTAATAATCCTTTGTTTTTTTCCGAGACGGTCTTGCTTTGTCGCCCAGGCCTGAGTTGCAGTGGGTGCAATCATAGCTCACTGTAACTCCAACTCCTGGACTCAAGTAATCCTCCGCTTTGGCCCCACCAATGCTGGGGATTACAGGCATGAGCCACCATGCCCAGCCAATGATTATTTTTTTATATACTTCCTGGTATAGAAATAACAGCCTGATCAATATACTGCCCCTTTCTGTTCCTTTTGGTGGAAGTTTGCAAGTTATTGCCCACAGAAAATCTTACAGATACAGAAAGTATAGTATGAACAGTAGGGAATAGAAATCAGGATGTACTTGAGTTTGTCTCTCACAACCTCCAAACCAACTTTTTTCCACAGTAAAAATACATTTGTCCTTTGTACATTCCCTGCAAATCCTAATCTGATGTCAAATCACCTTTGCCATTACACATTTAACAAAAATTGCGGTGGGAAAACAGTGTCTGAAACTGAAATAATGATTCCATTGGTGGGTAATTTTAGATCTTCAGGAGAGTTTGTAAGGAATTATTTTGGGGTGGAGTATTGAAGATCATTTCAGCAGCTTCTGTCCTATCCTCCCCTCCACATGTATAGGCTAGTGATCTTCAGACATTTTAAAAAACGGACCCCATAAAATAACTTTTTGGTTTTTTTTTTTTTGAGACAGAGTCTCACTTTGTTGTCCAGGCTAGAGTGAGTGCCGTGGCGTCAGCCTAGCTCACAGCAACCTCAAACTCCTGGCTGAGTGATCCTTCTGCCTCAGCTCCGAGTAGCTGGACTACAGGCATGTGCCACCATGCCCGGCTAATTTTTATATATATATCAGTTGGCCAATTAATTTCTTTCTATTTATAGTAGAGACGGGGTCTCGCTCTTGCTCAGGCTGGTTTTGAACTCCTGACCTTGAGCAATCCGCCGCCTCGGCCTCCAAGAGCTAGGATTACAGGCGTGAGCCACAGCGCCCGGCCATGGTTTTTTTTTTTTTTTTTGAGGCAGGGTCTCACTCTGTTGCTTGGGTAGAGTACAGTGGCGTCAGCCTAGCTCAGCAACCTCAAACTCCTGGGCTCAAGTGATCTTCCTGCCTCAGCCTCCCCAGTAGCTGTGACTACAGGCTTGTGCCACCACTCCCGGCTAATTTTTTGTTTCTATTTTTAGTTGCTTGGCTAATTTTCTATTTTTAATAGAGATGGAGTCTCACTCTTGTTGAGGTCTCCCATAAATAATTTGAAGAGCTATTTACCCTGTTCATTTTTAAGTTGATACTAAATTTTCTTTCATTAATCTAAATACTTGTAGAGGCTATAATTTCTGACTTTTTGCAACATTTTGACATCTTAAACTAAAAATGTTACATCATTCTGAAATGTATCCAATGGATTCCAAATACCTAAAAATTTGATGCCCATTATCATCCATCCTTCTGATGCCACGGCACTCTAGCCTGGGCAACAGAATGAGACTCTGTCTCAAAAAGAAAAAAGAAAAAGAAAAAAGGAAAAGGTTGACTGGGTTCAGTACATGCTACCCCAAAATATGGCAATTTGAGAAAATGACAGAAGAAGGTCACTCTCACTTTCCCTGGCCCTTCTCCCCTGAAGCAGGTCATAAAACCCTCAGGTGAGAGGTGCCCTCACTATACCTAGAGGAAAGAAGCAATCTTATCTCTAAAGACACAGGGTCACAGAAAAGAATCTGAACAAACAGGCCTTGCTAAGTTTTCCCCAGTTTATTACCATTAGATCATATCCTTTTTGCCCTGTTATATTTTTCCACAACTATCCACTCTTCATCAAACCTAGCATGAAAATAGTAAGTTTAACCATTTCTTCAGGTCTTCATTTCGTTATGAGGGTTCTTGTGTCATGTAAAACTTACATTAAATCTGTATGCTTCCAGCTGTTGTGGAACTTATGAAAAAGAAAATCTATATCCTTTTCTCTTGTTAATCTGTGTTTTGTTTTAGGGGCCTAAGCCATGAACCTAAAAAGATATTTTGCCTTCCCTACAAGATGCAGGGGTCTCAGGGGATATAGGGTCAAAAGTCACAAATAATAGGATGAAAAAGTCACCAAGCCATTGGGCAAAGGGTCATGAAGTGAGCTGATGTTAGATGCAAGAATTATTAGAAAATAAGGAACAAGGGGCTGGGGTTGATGTGGAAAACCAGGTAGGTCTGGAGGCAAGAGAGACAAGGAATGGCTTTTTTTTAAGATTGTGGGTTCAAATCCCAGTTCTGCTACCTTAGCTATGTTTCTGGTTTGTTTATTTAAAACCAAACTGAAAAGAAAAATAAAAGTGGAAAGGGGAAATGATAGTGAATGGGTTGTTGAGAGACAAACTTACAAATATACAAAGCTTGGCATACAGCAGGTGTTCAGTGAGCCAAACAGTATTAAGGCAATATTGGGGTAAAGAACCAGAGTAGTGAGGCCACAGCAGAGATAAGAGGATGGGGATTCTAAGATGTCAGTAAAAGAAAGATAATGCAAAATATGGGCCATGTGTTCATTGTCTGTTGAATCCCTAGCACCCAGGATAGAGTAAGACCCACAGGAGGTTCTCAGTAGTAACAACAGCTTATACTTAAGGAGTCCCATGTGGCAGGCATGGTGCCAAGTACTTTACATATGTTATCGTAGGCATTACTATTATCTTCACTTAGCAGAGGTGGAGACTGAGGTTCAGACAGGCTAAATGGCAAAAGTCCCACAGCTAAAGAGCCAGAGGCAGACTGGAACCTAGGTTTCTTATGACATCAGTGCCCCAATCTGAAGCACTCTGCTATATTGCTTTGCAAACATGTTAACAGATGGGGCCTAATCAAGGGAAATGGACATGCACTAGTGAGAGTGTAGGGCATCATGGGAATGAGGGAATAAGATTCAAGAAGCCAGTGGGCCCTGGGTTGAGGTAACAAGAGTAAGCTTGTAGGGTAGAGTATAAAAATGACTGCAAACAATTATTATCTTGACTGAAAATTGCAGACTTTCACAACTGGAAGGAAACTCTGAGATCATCCAACCCAACTCCATCACAATAATGATGAGAAACTGAGGCCAAGAGTGATGAAGGGACTTCTCCCAGGTTCCCAAAGCACAACAGTGGTAGAGCTGGGACTTCAACCTGGGACCACAAACTCAATCCACAGTTCTTTGATTCCTCCAATTACTGCTACTTCATATTTCTCTCTCTACCCTCCTTAGCATCAGAAAGGTGCTGGGGCACTTGTAAGTCATTTGCTGATTGATAATGGAGGGCTGAGAGTGCAGAGGGATGCCAGTGGGGGTGATTTTAGGATGAAAGGATAAAATGAAATGAGGGTATGTGGTCCTGGGGCAAAGATACTGAGAGTTACTTTGATGAGTGGGTGGGAAACTACTGGAGTATGGCTTAGGAGTTGGCAGTAGAGTTTTGAGCGGTGTCACCGAGTTTGTGGGAAACATAACGTAGAGTCGTTGGGGTTACTGGGCAGGTGGGGTCACCGAGGTTTGGGGGTCACTAAGAAAAAGAGTGTGGGGGATCTTGGGATCATGTGAGTCACTGGATTATAAGCGAGGGAGTCATGGGTTGGTGGGTCCCTGAGAAGAGCTGGGGAAATTCCTGGATTAGCAGTCAATGAGTAATAATTAAGGGTTACCTGGTGAGGTCTTGGAGTCAGTGGGTGGGGTGTGGGGTCACAGAGGTGGAGGCGGGCGCAGTCACGGGGTGGGATTTGGGAGTCATGGGGGAGGAGTCGCAGGGCGGAATGGAGGGGCAGGGTCCCTGGGTGGGGGAGGGGCCCGGCCGCCGTCCAGCGGCCCGGCCGCCTGGCTAGGACCGGAGGCGGGTGGGCACGCCGGGCTCGGGACCTTCCAGGGCCCTGCGCCCGCCCAGCCTCCCGATCTGGACACAGTGGACCCACTCTTCCCGCAGCCACCAACCTGACAGCCCCCGAGGGCGACTCCGCAGACAGACCGCCATGCACCGGGCCCCGCCACCAGCGCCGGCCCCGCAACCCGCCTGCGCCATAGCCCGCCCGCCCGCGCGCAGCTTGCCTCGCGCGATATCCAGGTTCCAGGGCCGCCGCAATTTCCTCTCCTCTCGGAACGCCTCTACCGGGCCCCGAAACCCGTATGGGAAATACAGCGCACGCTCCACCCCGCCCCCCTTCGCCGCGGCGGCCGTCCCACCTATCCTGGTTCCGGGGCCCCGATGCCCGGGCGGCTGGGATCCGAACCGAGCCCCGCGGAGCCCCGCCCCGCCCCTCGGCCGGGGTGACGCACGGCCCGCGAGGGCGAGCGCCCAGGGAGGGCGTGGTGACGTCACGACGCCCGGGTCAAGGCCGGGGCGCGGCTGCGAGCCCAGGCGTCGCCGCAGCGGTCGGGAGCCGCTACCTGTCCCACCCAGGGACTCAATCCACCTGAGACCTGAGGCGGGGGCGGGGAGGCCCCGAGCGCCCTGCGCCGTCTCGTCTGCGGCCGGCGGCCAGAAGATGGGCTTCGGAAGTAGGAAGGGAGGACCAGAGGGACAGGGTGTGAAGGAAGCCGTTCCCGCGTGTCCCTCTCCTCGCGCCGGGGCTGCCGCCTGTCCTTCGGCTCAGAGCCCAGGCTTCCTCCCGGCCGCTGCGGGCGCCCTCAGCACGACTGTGCGTTACGCTCCCGAAGCGCTTTAAAGTGCGCGGTCCGCCAGCTTTGCCTACTGATCTTCGAGCCGCCCTTTGAAGGAAGCAATTGCAGGTATTAACAGCTCCTTACTGAAAAGGACGATACTGAGGAGCAGTGAGGGACTGCCTCTTTAGGGAGGGCGCCCTACGGTCCTCGGGTCCTCTCGCTCTCGTTCTCCGCCAGCCCCACCCCCGGCCTCAAAACCAGCTGCTCCCTCTCGTAGGTTGCTTCACGGTGATCAAAACCAAGCCCTTTTACTATTTCCCCTTCTTAGCAGGGAGGGGCTGCGATTGAGGAATTTTCGGAAACCTGTGGGAAAATTAAAAGGGAGTGAGCTTTAGGTGTAAAATTAAATAAGAAAGGGGAATTTGATAAGGAACTGGTAAAGATTGCCTCTTTGGGGAGGAACAGGGTGCCTGGGGGAATAAAGTGAGAAACTTCGCCCTCTCTACCCTTTCAGATTATTATTATTATTATTTTTTTGAGACAGAGTCTCACTCTGTTGCCCAGGCTAGAGTGAGTGCCGTGGCGTCAGCCTAGCTCACAGCAACCTCACACTCCTGGGCTCAAGCAATCCTGCTGTCTCAGCCTCCCGACTAGCTGGGACTACAGGCATGCGCCACCATGCCTGGCTAATTTTTTCTATATATATATTAGTTGGGCAATTAATTTCTTTCTATTTATGGTAGAGACGGGGTCTTGCTCTTGCTCAGGCTGGTTTCGAACTCCTGACCTCGAGTAATCCGCCCGCCTCGGCCTCCCAGAGTGCTAGGATTACAGGCGTGAGCCACCGCGCCCGGCCGCTTTCAGATTATTTTAACTCATTTCTTTTGTGTCTTTCTCCCCAACAGTTTAACTTAAAAATACTTTTAAAAGGAAGTAAACTAGAAACATTTACGAAGTACTGGGTTTGGGGCCTGAGGTCGTTAAAGATGCCTTTGGGAGCACAGACATCCTGTTCCTCTCTTCCCGGTCTGAAGAGCTTAACCAGAAAGCCCCACTTTAAATCTTAGACAACCCCTTTTCCCCATCTTGGGCATTTCTTTTTTGGGGCGGGACTGGGACCAGAGTTCTCAGTTTAGGTAGGCAATAAGTGACAATTGATGGTTCATTCCTATGATTAATAATCCTTTGTTTTTTTTCCGAGACGGTCTTGCTTTGTCGCCCAGGCTGGAGTGCAGTGGGTGCAATCATAGCTCACTGTAACCTCCAACTCCTGGACTCAGGTAATCCTCCCGCTTTGGCCTCCCAAAGTGCTGGGGATTACAGGCATGAGCCACCATGCCCAGCCAATGATTAATTTTTTATATACTTCCTGGCATAGAAATAAACAGCCTGATCAATATACTGCCCCTTTTCTGTTCCTTTTTGGTGGAAGTTTGACAAGTTATTGCCCACAGAAATATCTTACAGATACAGAAAGTATAGTATGAACAGTAGGGAATAGAAATCAGGATGTACTTGAGTTTGTCCCTCACAACCTCCAAACCAACTTTTTTCCACAGTAAAAAATACATTTGTCCTTTTGTACATTCCCTGCAAATCCTAATCTGATGTCAAATCACCTTTGCCATTACACATTTAACAAAAATTGCAGGTGGGAAAACAGTGTCTGAAACTGAAATAATGATTCCATTGGTGGGTAATTTTAGATCTTCAGGAGAGTTTGTAAGGAAATTATTTTGGGGTGGAGTATTGAAGATCATTTCCAGCAGCTTCTGTCCTATCCTCCCCCCCTCCACATGTATAGGCTAGTGATCTTCAGACATTTTTAAAAAACGGACCCCATAAAATAATTTTTTTTGTTTTTTTTTTTTGACAGAGCCACTTGTTTCCCCAGGCTAGAGTGAGTGCTGCGTCAGCCTAGCTCACCACACCTCAAACTCTGGCTTGAGTGATCCTTCTCCTCAGCCTCCTGAGTAGCTGGGACTACAGGCATGTGCCACCATGCCCGGCTAATTTTTATATATATTAGTTGCAATAATTTCTTCTATTTATAGTAAGACGGGTCTCGCTCTTGCTCAGGCTGGTTTTGAACTCCTGACCTTGAGCAATCCGCCCTCGGCCTCCAAGACTAGGATTACAGGCGTGAGCCACAGCGCCCGGCATGTTTTTTTTTTTTTTGAGGCAGGGTCTCACTCTGTTGCTTGGGTAGAGTACAGTGGCGTCACCTAGCTCAGCAACCTCAACTCCTGGCTCAAGTGATCTTCCTGCCTCAGCCTCCCATAGCTGTGACTACAGGCTTGTCCACACTCCCGGCTAATTTTTGTTTCTATTTTTAGTTGCTTGGCTAATTTTCTATTTTTAATAGAGATGAGTCTCACTCGTTGAGGTCTCCCATAAAATAATTTTGAAGAGCTATTTACCCCTGTTCATTTTTAAGTTGATACCTAAATTTCTTCCATAAATTAAATACTTGTAAGAGCTATAATTTCTGACTTTTTGCAAATTTTGACACTTAAACTAAAAATGTTACATCATTCTGAAATGTATCCAATGGATTCCAATACCTAAAATTTGATGCCCATTATCATCCATTTAAAATATATGAACAAGCTCTTCTTTAACAGAATTGTCATTTGTTTTCTTCTTGAACTCCTAATTCCATTCACTTCTGTAATTACTTGTATACAATTTACTAACACATAAAAATATTATCATTTATAACTCATGAAACAAAAAGTACTTTTTATTGAGAATGCATGTGATGAAAATATGGTGTTTTCCCATTTTTTCAGGTATTCATGGATGAATATTACTAATTGTAGAAGATAAAGTGCAACATCAATTCTCTACCTGTTTATTTTTTATAGACAACAGTGTTAGAAGCCTTGTTCACATAATGGAAAGGGATAGATGGTTACAGTGATATTGCTTGAGTTCAAAGACTCTCATTGAACACATCTTTCTTATTATATGCCAACAATTATAAAGTGATCTTTCTTTCCCATGTATGGTTAAAACAAACAACAAAAAAAAAAAACACACACAAAAAATAAAGTGATCTATTATTAAATATGTATTAATATTTCCTTTAATTATATTAAAGAAAAGAATTAGAAGCCACTCAACTTACAAAAGTTTATCTAGTAAGAGTCTCAGTTCAGTCCTTAATAAAAATGATTATTAATTATCTGTGACTTTTCACTTAGACACCTTGTTAATCAGTATTGATTTCCATACTCCTTGCTAACACAATATTTTAAAACATTTTTCTTTTTCAGAGACAGGACTCACTATATGCTCAGGCTGTCTCAAACTCCTGCCTTGGCCTACCAAAGTCTGGGATTACGGCATGAGCCTGTATCTGGCCTCAACACAGCCTTTTGATAAATTCTCTATCATATATGTTTTCAGCATCTTTTTGTAAAATATTAAAGTACAGATTCACACATTCACTGTATAAAACAATTGCATTTGTGGAATTGGCAAAGCCAATCTTAATTTCATACCAATCAGCCAAATCAATTTCTTTCTGTCAGGAAAAAATGTGAATTTATTCTTCAGTTAAATAAATATAACAGTAATTGTAAAGGATATTATAAAATCATTGTGAAATAAATTATTAACTGTAGCTTATAAATATATTACTAATAAGTCATTCAAGTTAAAATATATACATCTAATATTAACATTATAATAATGTAAAAACAAGATAGTACTGTTCTCATATAATTTGGAATAATGCAATATAATGCAGTATAAATACATCAGTTTTCAGAAATGGAATAGAAGGCATTGTTATTCCCTTGGTAAATGTGTATGCTTGCTTGCATCAAACTCGGGTGTTAGTCTTGGGAACAATTAAATAAGAGTAATGTCTAAAATCAGAAATAACTCCATAATCTTGTTACATATAAATTTTTCTTATGTGTTTTTAAAAAGAAAGGCATATTTGCTAAGAAATAATGGGCGAGCAGCTACACATTTCATTTTTTGCTATGTAGGAGTAGGAAATAAGAAACATTTTATAAGATGAAGTAAGAGGAGGACTGATTGCAATGGGAATATTTGATATGAAGCAGAGAACAGCCCTTCCCTCCCACTCTCCAGGATTTAACACCTGGACCATGCATCAGGGATTCAGTGTAAGGTGAGGGATATACTTTTCTTTTGTAAAAAGACCAAAGGATTATGATCAAAGGGGAGGTAAATGGAGAGTGTACATGAGTATGTCAGCTGGCTCTCAAACAGAGTGGTTTTAGAAAGATTCAATAGAAGAATGATCTTTAAAAAAAAATAGAAAATTTCTGCCCCAAATTTGACAACTAGGTTTCCATTATGATAGTTATTTCTATTCCTACGTGCTATCATTCATATCTGTATAAATACATGTACTCTGCCTCTACATTATTTTTTCAAATATGATATCATATTATTTTAATCCTTTCTGAAAAATGTCTACTGTCTTTCAATGTGTTCCAAAACTTGAAGCTAGCTTTTATGAAGTTAGGTAATAAACATCTATGTAGAGTAAAAAAAAAAAAAGAAGTTAGGGATCTTGAAATGTATTCCCTTAAAAAACTCTCCTCAGATTGATTTCCTTGCCCGGGTATCCCTTACAAAGTTTTCATATACCCTTGGAAAGAATTCCTTGGTAAGTCTTTATGCACCCCAATTTAAAGACTTCTGGATATAGGCATACCTGTACTGCAATGGCCTTGACTATACATTATTCTGGAATACCAAAGCAAGTGTCCTAGGAAGTCAGACGGAAGACTTAGTGTTCTTGGAATAGAAGAGATTAAGAGATAAGTCAAAGAGGATGTCCCCAAGTTGGTGTAGTACAATAGTCCTGGATATGGTCCTCAGTTTTACAGTTCTAGAAGTGTGATATTGTCAGTACACACAAAGGTGTTAATGTTTTGTCACACTAAATCAAACTCATAGGAAGTTAATGTATAAAATAGAATGCCAATGTATTAATTTATACTCATAGCCACTAAGGGGACTGGATTCTTTCTCCTGTTGGGAAATCTATATGGGAAGATCAATTATAATGAGAAAGTTACATAAGGAGTGTGGATCTTGAGCAAGGCTATTGTTATCAAGCTATGACAACCAGATACTTG